TTCGTAGATGTCCTGACACCACAGTCCAGTGTGCCATTACAGGGCACTGTGTCTGCAGTTCCAAATATTCCAGAGGCCAGCCTCGAGAGGCTGGAACCCTTAGTAGATTTTTTGGCAGAGTGGAAAAGCCTTCCAAATGTATCTTGTTGGGTCCTGCCGAAAATCAAAAAAGGTTACGTTATTCAGTTCAGGTCTCGTCTGGTTCGATTCAGGGGGGTCCTGCCTACAGTGGTGGGCCCCGAGCAGGGTCTGGGATGGGGGGTTGCGTCCAATTTTCGATTTGCGCCTTTTAAATCGTACAGTAGGGAAGCTCAAATTCAAGATGCTCACTCTCAAACAGATCGTGTCACAAATCAAATCCGAGGACTGGTTTGTCACAAAAGGACTTAAAAGATTTAAAGGACGCTTACTTCCATGTGTCTATCCTTCCCCAACACAAGAAGTTCCTGAGGTTTGCTTTCGGGGGTGAAGCGTACAAATATTGGGTACTTCCGTTCAGCCTAGATCTCTCTCCCTGAACGTTCATGAAATGTATGGATGCAGCTCTGTGAAGCCAGGGCATTCGCATTTTGAATTATATCGACAATTGGTTGATTTTAGCTCAGAGCATCAGGCGGCTCGGCATCGAGATGTCGTTCTCGCTCATATCAAGAAACTGGGGTTGAGGCTCAATGCCAAGAAGAGTGTGCTACCTCCACTTCAGAGGACCACGTTTCTGGGTGTAATCTGGGATTCGACTATGATGCAGGCACGCCTCTCTCCTGCTCGTATCGCTTCGACCCTTACGACCGTCAAACAAGCAAAGCTAGGCTAGTCACTCACTGTCAAACAATTTCAGAGACTGTTAGGTCTGATGCCAGCAGCGTACAATGTTATACCTTGCGGCCAACTGTACATGAGACCATTGCAGTGGTCCCCGAGTGCAAACCCGCTCATTATGATCAGGGTCGTGCGTCGTTGTCTTCGCGCCCTGGCTATGTGGAAAGAACCTTGGTTCCTATCCCATGGGCTCGTGCTGGGAGCTCCTTGTCATTGCAGAACGCTAACGGATGCTTCCCTCAAGGGCTGGGGGGCGATCATGTGTGGTCACCCAGCTCAGGGTCTGTGACAAGGCCCTCATCTCTAGTGACACATAAATTGTCTAGAAATGTTGGCAGTGTTTCAGGCCCTGCAAACACTTCCTCCCAGACCTGAGGTCATGGCCGGCGTGGTCTGTACGCATTTCCCCCGATTGCTCTGCTCCCAGGAGTTCTGCTTCGCCGGGACAGGGTCAGTCTACTGTTGGTAGCCCCGTACTGGCCGGCCTGAGTATGGTTTGCGGACCTAGTTTATCTCCTCGTAGGCTCTCCTCTGGAGATTCTGATCAGGAGGGACCTCAGGCGAGTGAGAGAAATTTTATTATCTTGATTTCAGCTCCACTCCAGGGGCACTGGTGCTTCCGTCAGAATGTGCACCCTGACTTCATACGACGAACACTCGTATGGCAATGTGGGTATTGGCGTTCCCACAGCATTTTCACGCAGCTCGAGTTCCCTGATAGAGAACGTCTCTGGTTATGTACTGTATGTAACCCTAGTTCCCTGAAAGGAACGAGACGCTGCGTGAAAACACTGTGGGAACGCCAATTATAAGTAATTTCCTGTGCAGAATATAGTTGCATTATATTATTTTAATGTTTTGTTAATGTTTTTTTTCACTGACCTTCAAACAGACCAGCAACCAAATTTCTGCAACCAAAGAACTGCACAATCACAGCCATCAAAAATAAAAAAATTATCAGCAATTTTGTTGCAAAAATCACTCCTTGACACTCATCATCAATGCATCCTTATAGCATCACTTCAAGACAAAGTGATTGCACAGCCCCAAGGAAATATCTGTTGCAAAGTGTATATAATTTATATTTGATTATTTTTTTACCATTCTTTTTTAACTTGTGTAACAACCAGAATAATTTCAATAGAAAATAATTAACTGTATTTTTTTTTACCACAAAATAGTAAGTCAAAAATGGAAAACCCACACAAATTGCATACACTGTAAATTCATTATGAATGTATTAACATGACACAAAGCATGAATAAACAAATAAATACTGCATGAAGCAGTCACTACTTTGGGCCATGGTTAGATAGAATCCAATGACATATGTGACCATTTTCAAACTCTAAAATTACTCTATATACTTTATCACACAAGCTAATATTTATTTTCAAACCAGTTAAGAATATCTGTGGATTGTTTGAACCACTATATACACAAATGCAGGCCTATGAAAATAAGGCAGAGAATATTCAGGTGGATCCATGCTGGCTAATGTGTGTCCAACCAGTGTGTGTATTTTGTATATTTAGAATACTATTTAAAAAAGTATATAAAGTTTTTTTTTTTTTTCCAAAAAATGTTTTACTTTACAATCTCTGGATTTCCAATGATGAAATGGCATTCATTTTTGTCAACTCAGCACTTGAGTCAAAGTATATTTAGGTACAATATACAAGGCAAACAGTTCTAATGATAAATGTAAAAAAATATATGTCATTTTACAATATAGAAACAGTACCATGTGACAAACAGTGTGGGAGAAATACAACATAACTCTACATCATAACACATTCTCTTCACCTATGCAGCACAATATGTGAGATGTCCATGTTTGCAATGTAGTATTAGTACAGTTAAATTACAAATCAAGTACAGTACAATGCCAGTCAAGTCCAGAGTAGACACTTGGAAACAAGTCAAAGCCTAAAACCGACAGGCGTACTAACACGACGGCATTCTTTCTTAGCTCATGCATTAACAATTATGTATTTAATTGTTTTATTAGGAAGACAAAACCTTCCAATATTTTCGTTTGTAACATTTTATTACACACCCAGCCCTAAAATGTAGCTGGCTGTTTAAAAAAAAGGACCTGTGCTTTGCTCACAAGAAAGCATTACAAAACTATTGAAAACATACGGTGACATTAAATAACCATAGAAGTCAGAAATGCATCCAAAAGACCATTCACAAACACAATTGGGCAAGAGGTATTCACTTCCAATAAACTGAATAAAAAAACTGACAAAGGAAACAATGCAGTTCTGACCTGGGATAAAAATCAATGTGTACAGCAATTTAACACATTTCTAGCCTGAGAAATAGTGCTAGTAATGGCTTCTTGATAACCATGGCAAATTACATTTTTGACATAATATGTTGGTGCGAAGCACTTCTTTAATTAACGTCAATTTTGCATTTTGGGTGTTGGCAAAGACGACTTCAAAAATCATGCAGAGTATTTTTATGATTTTAGGTTTGTATGAACTACTACACATGAACTGCATTATGATAATAATGTGAAAGAGATGGTATGTCTTAAAATAAAGAAATAAACACATTCTACAACATTACAGAGTCATGTAAACAGTTGTCTTATTATTGCATTGTTTATGTGACATGTTCAGTGTAGATGGTTGTGAAACGGTTTAACGTATTTCAAAACAAAGAGTAAACAAATTCTCAAACTGATAGATATGGTCTTTAGTGCGTAGACCGACACAATGACATAAAACTTCATTTAGATGGAGCGTCTAACAATTCCAGCCAGGGGTTTGCTATGAGAACGGTCTTCACTAGGGTAGTTGTTGCTGGTGTAATTTTATGGGAGAATGAGCCAAACAAAATCCAATTTACCCTGGTAAAATTGCGCTGAGCAAAAGATAGGAGAAAAATACTGAAAAGGGGAAGGAGGTTTACCTCATTTTTCACTGTACTGTCCAATCACAACACTTCAGAAGATGGGCGAATACCCACACTGTTCCAGTTCATGCCTTTGAAGAAATGCACAAACAAACTAATACTACACCAACTTTTTGGCCCAAGGTTGATTGAATAACATTTCTGTTATCATTCAGCAGGGAGATAGTATGAAATGTAGCCGAGTAGATTCATGCCACAATACATTGAATATTTCAAGGCAATATTGACCCTGTGTTGGCAGAAAGGAGAGAAGGATAAGCAAATTTTTAGATGTATCAAAGAATTTTTTTTAAAACTTTACCAAAATTAAATGCTTACAATTCAGCTTCAAGCAACTTTTTAAACGACTACACTAGGACAATGTGTCTGAAAAAAATGGGAAATAAATATGCGGCAAAAAAAACAAAAAAACAGTTAAACTGTATTTGTCTTGTTTTCCAGTTAAAATAAACATTCTTAATACATGACATATTAGTAAAGACACATTGATGCAAGGTACTAAGATTTGTTTTTAAATAACATCTCGAATAAGTTTATTTCTTACTTCACTGGCAATATTTTTTTTTCTTATTTAAGTATAAACTCAGATCTTAAACGGATACTCCACCGTTTTTTCATATTAAACTGTTATTCCCTAAACTTTATTCCCTAAACTAAGAAGAGTTGATGCATACCTCTCTCGTCTCAGTGCGTGCACTCAATCGCGAGACACTTTGATCGCACTTAACTTAGCCCAGTTCATTCAATATGCGCCAAGCAGAGAAGCGACCAAACACATCCACGTTTTTTCCTATTTAAATACAGTTACACGAGTTGTGTAACTCGACCAAGAATGGTGACACAAAATAAAACGTTGCACTTTTCTAAGCATTTAAAGTGTATAACTATAATGTATGGCAGAATACCACAGCAAGTAATTGGGAGCACTTCGACTCGGCGCATAAATATCTATGGACTCGGCGCAGTAATATCATCACTCAGGAGAGGGAGAGGACTTTTCACAAGTGATGATATTACTACGCCGAGTCAAAGTTCTCCCAAGCACTTGCTGTGGTATTCCGCCATACATTATAGTTATCCACTTTACACGTTTAGAAAAGTGCAACGTTTTATTTTGTGTCACCATTCGAGTTACTCTACTCGTGTAACTGTATTTAAATAGGGAAAACCTGGAGGTGTTTGGTCGCTTCTCTGCTTGGACCCTATTGAATGAACTGGGCTAATTAATTGCGATCAACGAGAGAGGTATGCATCAACTCGTCTTAGTTAAGGGAATAACATAGTTTAATATGAAAAAAACAGTGCAGTATCCCTTTAATAGATGCATGACTCAAGTAAGAAAAAGTTTTAATTAAAAAATATATTCATTTTGTTTCTCAAATAAACAAACCTGATTTTAAAGATGTCTAGGAATCTTCACTGGAAAGTAAGGCAAAAACAACTGAGACGAAGGTTTTTGATGAGGAGAACACATTTCGGAGTAATAATGGTAAAAGGGAGAAGCCTACACCTCCCTTTGATGTGTGAAATCTTATACTGCTTTTAAACTTTCCTTTATGAATAAATAAAGATTTATCATGTGAGAGTAAATAAATAATTGCATAAATAAATAAATAAATCAATAAATAGATAAATAAACAGATACTTGTGCCTTGAGCTACGGTTCAAAAAAGTTCTCATTGACCGGCACTTTGTGTAGTCCAGAGGCTTATGCTTCTAATGATAAGCCATTCTTTCTGACTTGCCGTCACCACAATGCGAACACACTCAATATCAAATCCTATCTTGTGGTCCACATCATAAACCTCAATGTTTCCATTTTTAAATTCCCCTAAAGTTATATAGGAGGAGCACTGCCTTCCTTTTTTGGTTCCTATCAATTTCTCTCCCACTTCCAGAGCTCCATGATGCAAAATGTCATTCTGGCGATCATCTGTTCCTGTGATGATCTTGATTTTGCTGATTTTTGTTGCCTTGTTGAACACTATAACATAAAAGTCCCCAGTGGACGGGGCCTTGCCCCAAAAGTACTCGTCCACGCTACTGTAAGCTTTGGCAGCATCATAGCTCTCAAACACATTTATGTTTGTGTATAAACTGGCAGGTGGATTGTCTGGGATATCAAGGGAGTCTTCCTCAAAGTCATCATCCTTAAGTTTGTTTTCTGCACCCTTATACGAGGAATAGTAGCCCATGTGTTGGAAAAGGGATGGCTTGAAGCGAATCGCATCTTTCTGGGCCAGTAGGCCTCGGAAATGGATAAGAAGCCAATCGCAAGGCATCTCCTGATAGAACATGAGCAGGAAATGTGCAAGTCTGGGAAGGTCTCGTGAGTGGTACAGCTTCCCTATGTATCCCAGTTTGGAGAATTCCAGCATCACCCAATATGATCCCTCCCTAGATGACACTACTTTCTTCAAAGCAGTAAGGAAGTTTCGGGAGCAGCGCACATCATCCTCCAACATCATGTAGAAGTCTGACAGGTTGGTGCAGAAGTTGAGCAGAAACGCGTAATCTACATTCTGTTTGGAGCGGAAGCGTACTCTATCCTCCGGATCGTTATAATTTCTCTTCAACCCATCCAGGGACGGGTAGTACTCCTCAGGTGCATGGATGACCAGCAGCCGTCCTGCAATGATGTGGTGGCCGAATTTCCTTGAGATTTCCTGAACTAGGCTCTCGCACCACGCCAGGTCGAAGTCTGCCAAGTGGACAACCACAACAATCTCCTTGAGCTCCTCGTAGCTTGATTGGTCAAAAATGGACTTGATGGTCTCCAACAGGTAGTTTCCTCGTTTTCTTTTCACAGATGACAATCCAATAGTGAGATACTCTACAAAATAACATGGAAAATCATGAAGTGAATCAAAATGTCTGATTTGAACAGAACGACCTAGTCTGTTAAAATATGTGAAATAATATCCATAAATCCATTAACAAGTTACATTATTTATTTATTTGTTTACAAATCTTTCACACCGGTGTATACTGCTAATACTAAGTGTACAAAGGAAAGCAGTCTTACTCTTTCGAGGTAAAGGTGTTCCAGCAAGGTACCGATAAGTCACATTGATTGTTCCAGAAAAATTTGTGATTTCTTTAAAGGTATGAACATATCGCTCCGAGTTCAGCGGATGCATTGAGGTTTCCCGCAACTGACGTTTATCTTCCTCCTGAAACACATAACAACCAAGACAGACAAGTCTAAGTCCAAGTTTGCCAGAGCATTCACTATGCGCCTTTAAGGTTGGACATAGTCAGGCTTTTTTATTTACAACAAAATAAGCTAATTATTCGATAAAGTTTACAGTAGCTTCATAAATTAATAAAAAAACTTTAAAAACTCATCAGATTTCATCTTTATTTTCTAGAAGTAGTGTATAAAAACTGTATTAAAATAATGTACACTGCCATCTTGCTCCAATGAAAGTGACTTGAACGCACCTGACGCTGTAAACACAACTTCCCATGAGGACTTGAACGCACCATTAGATGTCTTTTGCATCTTTAATAGTTGGCGCTGCAGGTCATTATTTTTTGATTTGGTAATATTTAATTGAATTGAATTGTAAATGAAGGCCTTGAAAAATGAATTGCACACACAATTTTACCCGCTCAAATTTATAATCTAGTAATAAAATTATAGCATTGTTGCTATGCTTCAATGTCCTTTTACCACACATGGATTGTTCACACTTTACTAAATCTTTGCTGGACGTGATGGTGTTTGTATTTCAATTAAATGGGGGTTATTTAGAAAAGTGACTTAGTCAAAATGGGTACAACTTTTAAATAATTCAACAGACAAACACACACGACATGTTGTGATCACAAAGTTTTGATCATGAAGTTGGCCTCATGAATAATAAACGTGTCTCTAGCATTTGGACTGCCTCTACATCATGAAATTTTAAATAGGCTGCATCGTGAGCGCTGATAATTATACATGCATAACACAGCACCGGCAGCCTTACACGCAACATTTGGTAATTAAAGCATATAAACAAAATAACTTTTCAGCAAGGAGATAATTAATGCTAAATCACATGCAACAACAGTAGTCAAGTTGTTGTGAAGCCCACTATTGTCTTGTTATCTGCTCCACTGATGTTGTAAATAAATTGACCTCTGTAATTTACCTGCTGGATTTCAACAGGTAAACAAACTCACCAGCACGTAGCCATCCTCCATGTAGAGGTTTATGAAGAGCAGGAAAGTAATCAGAGCCACCAGAAAAGGAATGGTGGAACGTTTCCGGAAACACCTCATCTTGTCCAGGTACTTTAACACCAGTCTCATGATGGAAATACTACTGGTGTGATCTGATAGAAAACAAAGAGAAAATACTGCATCAGGACGCATCATCCATACACTAAATTTTAAGATAAAGGACAAGGTGGAGCATGGAATACATATTGTTAATTTATAGCGCGTCATAATCGTCCCATACACAACACAGCCCAATAAAATATTTACCAAAAAATAAAACGAATCGGTTACCTAACGTAACCTCGGTTCTCTCTAGATGAGGGAACGAGTATTGCGTCAACTTCTCAGCAAAGATGAATCTTTCCCGTAGCGTAAGCTAGCTTACGCAATACGAGAGAACCTCTCGTAAGAGAACCACTGGGTTGAAAGCAGTGACGTCAGCACCGTTCAAAACTGAATTGAAAATTCCAGCTGTGGTGAAAATCAAGTGTTTAATGTTGTTTAGTGGTGTTTTTTTTAATATGTCTTAAAGAGAAAATACTCAACAATGGAGTTGACATGAATTTTCACAAGGTTTGTCGTAAACTGTAAAGTGTTTCTGACGCCACAAACTAACTTGTAACCTATCACGTCAACGTGTGATCATCAACGAGGGGAATATCTGAGCTTGTGTGAGTAAGTGGAGGCGGGGCTAATTTGCATAGTCATAGAACCGTATATACTAAATGAGGGAAGGGTTGGGTGTAGCGTTACATTGAAGCTTGAGGCATGAAGACATATTTTTCAAGAAAAAAAACTTAATTTTGGTAGTCAAAGATAAGTTTTAAAAGGACTACAGGGGACTTTAAACTCCTGAATTTGAACTGAATTTAGGATGTGTAATTGCAATGTAATTTGTAGATTTAAAATGAACTGAAATTCACATAACTCATCAGTTATGTGATTATCACTAATCAGCAGTAAAGTCCAAGTGTTGGGTTGAAAATTGTGAAAGTTTTGAAAAGCCTTGAAGTTTAGATAGATGGACCCCTAGAATCTTGCGCAGCAAATCACAGAAATTACACAGAAAGAGCTCATTCAAATTATGATGTCTTTTTTATTCAGGAGAAACTGCCACCAATTTCTTGCTGTGCAGCCATCAGAGAAGCACTTCTTTTTGTATAAAAGACAGGACATTCACTATAAGGTCACACTTAAAAGAAGTGGAAGCTTTGTGTGCTTCCAAGCCCAGTAATTAACTCGACAACGATGTAGGTATAATGCAGACTTCAGCTGAAGAACACGCTTTGAGGTTAATACCCTGACCCTACTCACCAGGCGTGAGCAAAGTACAGAACTCTGTGCCTTTAAGTTCTTTTGTTTTGCCCATTTTGAGGTCTGTGCGTCAAGTACAAAGTACGGTTCTTAAAAGCTATAATGCGAAAGGGCATTTCGATTTTAGCTATCTTCATCTGATGATGCATAGCTGAGTGACTGTCTTTGAAATAGGAAAGAAAAAGAAAAGAGTTCAGCTCTGTGCATGAAATAGGCCCCAGGCGTTCTTTTATTTTTGACCTCAAATTACACAGTTATCTAAGAATAGCATGAAGAACGCAAGTGTTTTGGAAAGCTTACGTGTAACAGCCTTTTTGATGGCTCCTGTTAAGCACCTTAGACCACTAATGGAATACAAAATACCTTTACTGCGATTCCCTTGACCAGATGTGTATCGATTCTGCCCACTGCCAACCTGTTTCAAATGGGGATTGTCAGGTCGATATTCTATGAGCTCTTGCTTGTACTTAGAAAGTAGTGAAAACAGTGAGACCACATATATAGGGTTTTACACTACCGATTAAAAGAAATGAATACTTTAAATTTAGCAAGGTTGGTGAGAGTAAAAACTTAATTTCAATTCATTACAGAATAATGTAAGTGTTTTTATTAGGGATGAACCGATATGACAATTTTGGCCAATACCGATAACCGATAATTCTTTATATTTGAAAGCCGATAACCGATATATTGGCCGATAAATCTAAATCCAAATTTTTAGACAATTTTTGAGAGCCTGATTATAAAAAAAGTCTCCTCATTAAAAGTCTAGATACAAACACAATTATGATGTTCATATTTTAATATTACATTTTGCACTTTAACTGGATTTTCCTTTTTTAAAGTGATTTCAATCATATTTCAAGCCATTTAAAAGCATCATGTTGAACAGTACACATCTAAAGTGCCCCAGCTTAAGGAAATAATACATTAGTTATCAGCTTAGATATCGGCTACATGTTCTTGTTGGGCCGATAACGATAACATTAAATATGATAATTTATCGGCCGATACCGATAATGTGGCCGATTAATCGTGCATCCCTAGTTTTTATAATAATAAATGATTATTGAGCACCAAATAAATCATTAGAATGATTTCTGAAGGATCATGTGAAACTGAAGACTGGAGTATGATGCTGAAAATAGGTACATTAAATAAATATAGAAAAGTTGTTTTAGATTGTAATACAATTTACAGCATTTTTTGATCAAATAAATGCAGCCTTGGTGAGCATAAGAGACTTCTTTAAAAAACATGAATCCGTTTTTTTTACAGACCCCAAAGTTTTTAATGCCATTCTACATCAGAGGCACTTTTTATAAACACTTTAATATATATTTCATTGGATAGTGTCTTGCATTCACAATGAGACATTGCATTCTCGGTGCTTGTATAAATACCGCAACTAGTACCATCGATTGCAGAAAATGTCAGTTCCTACATTATATAATACGTACTTATCATTCGGATAAAACTTTAACCTTTTTTAAACCAATTAATTATCATAAGTCAACAGAATGTAGACAGCAGAAAAATCATTTTGACAAACGGATATCCACACTACATTCAATTTTCTTGGGCATTTAATTACACAAGTGGCTGGCTTTTACATTTTCTAGTTCAAACCATTTTGCATTTTGATACATGCAGGTGGACTCATGTAATGTTTATGCAGGATAATATCAATGCTGGATTGATTCAGCCTACAAAACCCGCTTCATCCGTCACTGGCAGTGAAGTGAGGAAACCACTGATGGCTTTGCATTACATCACACGGTACCTCATTTTAAAACTTGCTAAAACCTGGATATAATCACATAAGACGTTTCTGAATTTAGCAACAAAAGGCTTTTTAATAAAAATGTTAATGCTGAAGGAGTGTTAGGCTGAGTCAGTACCTGCAATGCCCTCTTAAAGAACATCATTTACTTACCCTTAAAGGAGAACTCCGGCGAACAATGAACCTTTGGTCTAATAAAACATCGGTACCTAGTCAACCGTTCTCTGAGATTTGTTTTCATGGTAATCGAATGTAAAGAGTTTTATCTCTAAAAATTTAGTGTATAATGCTAGTTATGGGGGCATTGACTAAGTAAAAACAAATCGCTAGTTTATTCCACTAACAAGGCTCAAAATAGTCCCACACTAAACACTGTAACATAATGAGGGTCAGTACATGCGAAACGAAGCATTGAGAACTTTGTAAGTGCACAGACCGTTTAATAAGAAGATACATTATGAAGACAGTTCACTTCGCGTATACAGACAGGAGCCATCTTAATAAATAGTCTCGATAAGTCGATCCCCGAACGCCGCTCATGCAGTTCAGAAGTTCGCTGAACTTCATACAGTTCAGATCACTCAGCACGACGTTCGTGGTTTGCTTATCGAGACTATTTTTTAAGATGGCTCATTATGTTACTGCGTTAGTGTGGGGCTATTTTGAGCCTTGTTAGTGGTATAAACTAGCGATTTATTTTTACTTAGTCAATGCCCCCATTACTAGCATTATACGCTAAACAGTTTCTAGAGACAAAACTCTTTACATTCGATTATCATGAAAACAAATCTCAGAGAACGGTTGACTATGTACCGATGTTTTATTAGACCAAAGGTTCATTGTTCACCGGAGTTCTCCTTAAAGACTTTCTTTCCTCTGAAGAACAAAAAAAAAAGATATTTTGAAGAACGTTGGGGACTAAACAGCTGTAGATCCCATTGACTTTCATTGAGTTCAAAATGAGACTTTTTGTTCAAAAAACAAACATTTTTCAGAAGCCATGCAGATTTTCAAATGAAGAAGTAAATGATAACAGAATCGTTTCATTTTTGAGGTTAAATTTTCCCTTTGATTTTCAGTAGCATACCTTGCAAGTACCATTTATGAGCTCATAAAATGAAACAATGAAGCTGAGAGAAAGTTAAAATGGCATTATAAATGTTTCAAATATCTTTCTGCAAACTGCCTGCATTTGCCAGGTATTCTTCCACCCCCTTAAATCTCCAAGTGTCCAAACACATCCGACGCACCCTCAGGCTGAAAATAAAACATCCATTAGAAATGTATTAAGCTGAGCTGACATTATCCCACCTCCTTTCATGAATGCAGAGAGTGCCGCTTGTTGACATACACACAAAATCAATTCTGAGCTTTGAAACCCAAAACTCAAACTCAAAAATGGTTGAAAAACAAAGATTTAATAACGACTGCATTTCTTCCCAGACTAAAGCCGCAGATTCAGTTTGTAAAAAAGGCAAAACCACCAGCCTGGTACCTTCATATGTTGAGTAATTACACCCGACAGGGTCTGATTCTGGAAGAGCTGAAATTACAGGCAGACGGTAGAGACACGTACAGCGGCCAGGGGTCTCGCTTTTGCAGAGGTCTCATTTGAGGGAGGGCTGACGTAAACAACCTGAGGTTCATTTCCACTTCCTGTCGCTCTGTAGATCAGCACCTCCTGGGGAGAGCAGCCTTTTTAGCAGTCAATATAAACCGGGCATTTATAGTGTTAACGCTGTGCCAAACTAAACGGCTCAATTAGAGAACGAGAGAAGTAATCCAAAGAGTTGATTTCCTAAAAACACAGAAAATCCAGATGGTCCCCCTGTCTAACATCAGCTTGTTTGTGCATTACTTTTCGTATACTAATGCAGACTGCCACACTCATAGGAAGCATACTTATAAACACCCATTCATTTCAAAGCGAGGACATTGTGCTAGCATCATTTTGAGCTGCGCATTTGCAGATATTTATCTAGCGATCTTATCTTTTCACTCTCCTTTTGGTGATGG